TTTCTTTTCTTTTCTTTTCTTTTCTTTTCTTTTCTTTTCTTTTCTTTCTTTCTTGACATATGCGAACATGTTTTTCATCCCTTGCATAAGAAGCACATCATGACTGCGCTTGATGACCATCCCTTGTGTGCTAGCATTGTTCTGCAAGGACAACTGGCCCTTGTGCCTTCATCTCAGATATATTCACTCACTGTTTATTGGAGCAGCTCTCCCTGAAGTTATGGCGATGATGGAAAGGTTTTCCCGTCCCTCCTCAACTTGCAAAACAAAAAAAATCCCCTTTCACATGATCAGATGAAAAGGAAAATATTTCCCTTTTGCTTGCACTGTGTTTGTTTAAAAGAACCGTTCCTTTTTTTTTAAGGCATTTTTTTACTCACTATGAGTTGGCAGACCCAAGACTGAACTTTGTGGGGATTTCATAAGCCTGCTCCTTTGTGGCCCATCACATGATAACAAAATTGTTTATTCAGGGAAAGTTTTCCCCCCTGCACACCACCCAAACAATGGCACATCTGTCCTTTGCAAACAGCAGCCTTCATTCAAAATGTGCACAAAAGCTGCCATTCTCTTTCCTGAAACTTTGTGGTTCAGGGTGGAAACGTATCAATGGGCAATGTGTCGTGCGTTGGAACAGGCATGCGGCTTTCTCCTTCTCGAATGCTTGAGATTCTTCTCCTAAGTTTAGGAATACTAATATCTTCCCAAAGGACGTGAGAATTGTGGAGGCTGGAGTCTGCCTGATAATTGTCTATCCTACGTCATCTAAGAAGCTCAGTAATAGCGTATTATGGTATAAGTAAGAAAATAATAGTTATAATCATGAGGTATAACATTATGTAGTCAAAAGAGATTATACTGTATGATGGGAATTGATATAGCCAATATATATCAATGTTGTACAATTGGAACTTTGACTAATACTAAGGAGAAAAGCACAATTTTTTTTTTTAAAGAAATATTTGGATTTATTCAAGGGATGTCCAACCTGTCAACGTTAAAACTTACGGTCTTCAACTCCCAGAATTCTCAAGCCAGGGAATTGAAGCCCACAAGTCTCTGGGAGTTGAAGTCCACAAGTCTTAAAGTTGCCAAGGCTGGACACCCCTGGTTTATACCAAATGATAGCCTTTCATTTAATTTGGTCTTTTTTTTCCCTTGACCGGCCTCCGTCCATACAAAATCATGACCCTCCTTTCAAAATCAAGCAACATGCTTGCGTGAGCCTGAATGTTAAAAGAGTGTGTTTGCATCCAGTGCCACTTAGGTGCCAGGGAGGGCACGGACATTGGATCTGGTCAGTAGCAGCTGAGAATGCAGCCTTCCAAACCCCACAGCCCCATAGAGAGGTCAATGCCGCTGCAGAGCTCCAAGTTCTCTCTCCGTGTATATGTGTTTATGTGTGCCTAGGTGTCTTTGAAATTGTGCTTTGAGAGGCACCGCCAAAGCCAGGAAGATCGTAGTAAGTCTGAAATGTACAATCTTCCTGGGGATTTTTTTTTTAAAAAATACACCTCTATCCAGGTTCATGCATCACACAGAGCACTAGTAAGTTTCATTTAGTCAGAGCAACATAAACTCAGTTTTAATGCCTTGGAAACGTACATTACGGCTTAGTGCGAGTCTTTTCAAACTTTATAGCACTGCGACTCTCTAAAACAGGGATGTCGAACCTTGCAAATTTCATGACTTGTGGACTGTCAACTCCCGGGAATGCCCAACCAGCTTTCCTGGGGAATTCTGGGAGTTGAAGTCCACAAGTCTTAAAACATTGCAAGGTTGGACACTCCCGATTTAAGAAGTCACCAAGAATTGAGACCCCATTTTAAACATCCGCATATGAATATTTTCCATTTTTTGACTGCCAAAAAAGGTTTTAATAATAAGAGACCAAAAACGTGTATTTTCAGTGGGAACCAAACTGGAAGACTCTGAGGAGGCCAGTCCAAATCTCTCGAAAACTCTAATGGTGGATAGGTCAAAGACACCTGAGATCAAAGCAAAGATTAATAAGGACCAGCTTAGCAGCTCCAAGCTTGCAGAGAATTCATCCCAGGTAAGATGCATCAGCCTCTTTGAATTATAGTCGTATTCTTCAGAATTATGGGTTCAGGGTCCCAAATCATCTGCTTGCTGGTGTAGGGCATAAGGGAAGTGACCTTGACCTAAATATGCAAGAACTATTTTACTTATTTGTATCCCACCTTTATCGTTTTTATAAATATGAACGGATCCAACACACCTTCCTCCTCTTCCTATTTTTTTTTTCCACCACCACAACCCTGTGAAGTGGGTTGGAATGAGAGTGAAATGCCCAAAGTTATCCAGTTGGCTTTCATGGCTAAAGCGAGACTAGAACTCACCATCTCCTGGTGATTGGCTAAAAGTTATCCAGTTGACTTTCATGTCTAAGGTAGGACTAGAACTCACCATCTCCTGGTGATTGGCTAAAAGTTATCCAGTTGACTTTCATGTCTAAGGTAGGACTAGAACTCACCATCTCCTGGTGATTGGTCTAAAGTCACCCAGCAGGCTTTCATGTCTAAGGTAGGACTAGAACTCACCATCTCCTAGCCTGGTGCCTTCACCAAACTGGCTCTCATTTCAATACAGTATCAATAGATATAAGCCATATAAACCGAAGTGGTGCATTTTTAAGAATGCAAAGGGGTCCTGAGATAAAAATATTTTGAGAACCGCTGCTGTCTGGTAGCTACACAGGGAAAACACGTCATCCTTGCCAACCATTTCAACATCACCCAAATTGTGTCACAAAGCGAGTGTGTGCAGTCTGTTTGCAAGCATCTGATGTGCTCGCCAAGAATATGTTCCTTTAAATTAACGACAAACTTATTATGAAAAACACCCTAAGAGCTTTAGGCCGACCAATATGCAAAGTACTTTTCTCCTTCCCCCTTAATTCTAGAAGCATTAGCAGCTGAAAGGATAAAGTAAAAATAAAAAAAGAATCTCTTGGGACCAAATTCAGCCGACGGCAGCTGTGCTCATTGAACTGTACCCACCGCACAAACATTGACACACAAAAGCTTTTAAGCAAAACAAAACAAAACAGGAAAAAAAAAAACAATGACCAGGCCATTGTAAGTAAATAGTAATTCTTTATTTTTTTTATTTTCTTCATTAAGAACAGCATTTTGAAAATAAAATGTATCTTTCTTGCCCAGGCTTTATAACTCTCCTTTTTGTTTAGTTTAAATTTCATATCTCTTTATGTACAAGTCCATTATGGTACACAATTGATTGTCTCAAAAACCTTTCCAGAGGATGTAGAATATGAAATGGTACGCAACGGTCAACAGGACAGGGAAGGAGGGAACGTTATTAAAAAAAAGCACATTAATACATTTAATAAATATTTACATATATTATCAAAAGAAGAAGAGAGCACTTGTCATTTTAATAAAAAGCACCGGTTGGGTTATCTGATAGGGATAGAAGAGTAGTCAGATTATAATATATAATAGGAGATTTGAGAAAAAAAAATATATATATATATATATATTTTTCTCAAATCTCCTAATCAAGGCTACAATTGCTTCTGATTCTGCTGCGTTGAGTTTAAAACGGAAGCTTCGAGCAGTAAATTAGCCAAAGCAATGTTCCCCAAAAGCAGATTTCAGTTAATATTGCAAAACACCTTGCTTAATTTAGGATTCAGACATGGAAATCCAGGCCTTCTCAAACATCAGCCATGATGGTGGAACTCTCTTTCCTAAACTTGGATGCCCTTCAGATGCATGGACTCTTAACTCCCAGAATTCCCCACCAGGGTGGCCAATGTTCCTGAGGATTCTGGGGGCCCAAGACTCCTGATTTTGCACCAAACTTGAGAAGGTTGAGCATGAACTCATTACCTATCTGATCCCCACAGAACGAAAGCTTAATGGAAATGGACAGTCGATGAATGTAAATGGAGGTATATCTCAGGGCCAATGACGTCAAGCCAGAAACCCTCCCGATTGGCCAGCCCTGTTTTCTATATATATTTCATGCGTGGTCCTCCAAGCTATTCAGCTGTGGAAAAGGGGTGCAGCTGACAGGAAGTTAAGACCACTGGACATGCACCAAGATTAGTAGAATGAAAGCATGCTTAATGTTTTATTAGGCCCCAGCACTGTGACCAGTCACTGGAAAGATTGCTATCGGCTTTGAGAAGGTGCAGTTTGCAAGCAGCCGGAGCCAGCCCGAGAATTGGAAGAGAAGGAGAAAGGCCCGAGGTGGGGCTCCCATTTTATGCAGACAAGCTTTCTTCATGCTTTCTCCGTGGGGAGAACGGCCTTCCCTCAAACTTACAGAACATTACCCAACTTTTCTCCTTCCTTCAACCCTTCGCTGGGTGGCATTTGTTATTTGATGCCAGAGCTCCGGAATCTGGGCTGCAAGGATCAAGACCTCCTCTAGATGGCTGCAAAGAGCTCAGAAAACTCTTATCTCTCTGCTGCCATCTGGCGGTCAGCTGGATGTTTTCAGCCCAATTCTGCAAGTCCAGGGAAAATCCACCACTCTTCTGCCAAACAATCCAGCATGGAACTTAAGCAGCCTTGCTCGGACTGCATCTGACGTTCAAATTGTACCTTCCCAATTTGCCGGGGTTGGTGGTGGAAATTTGATCCGGCTCATTTCCCCAACTGCTGTATAAATTGCCTTCTAGCGTGCTTTTCTACGTTGGGGAATTTGCTGTATTTTTCTAGTTACATTAATCGGCAGTCACAAAGCACAGAATAATATTGATGCTTCCTAAAGCAAGCTGCTGTGAAAAGCCCAGCTAGTTTCTCTTCCCGTGGGTTAAGCGCCTCTCCAGATGCTCTACATTTTGAACAAAAAGCAAACACCATACAACTTTTTGCAACTTTTAACACAAAGAGATACAGCTCAACTCAAGGGTGTCTTTTAAACGGTTTGTAACAAGAGGCGTTTTGGGGGGAGAGTTGTAGCAGCAGCAGCAGCAGCAAACATCAGAAATCACAGAATAATAATGATAATAATAATAATAATAATAGTGATAGTTCGAGAAAATAATAATCCCTTCTTTATAGTTTTATCGGCACGCCTCCCACCACTAGGAGGCATGGCCCAGGTTCACAGGAGAGGTTAGGAGGAGTCCAACCCTGTCTTTTAAGCTCCCAAACTGCCATTGATTTAACGGGAAGGAGGACCGCTAAATCCTTCCTTGTCTAAAAGAAGAAGAAAAATAAACACAAATTGGACAGTCTCAGAACCGTCTAAAAGTGGCCTTTTCCTCCAGTTAAAAACAGCACAATTCCGTCTCTTTCCTCTTGTTCACATTCAACTGGGGAAAGTAATTAATTCCAACTGTTTACCCCAGGTTCATCATGCGCATTTTGGTAATAAAAATAGTTTCAAAACCCCATTTTCACACGTATCAAATCTCTGTCCTGCATAGACCCACGGTAACGTTATATATAACGAATGCCCACCTTATTAAAAAATATTGCTTTGTATTTTAAACAGGAGGTTAAGAGAACATCCAGTTTCCCCACAATCTTACAAAATGAAATCAGGTTTACATCAAGTTAAATTTTGCAAATTCCCGGAACGCAACAATGCAGGTTTTTCCTCTTGTACGTAAGCCTGTGTGGGCCACAAAAAATTATTGCTGTTTTTTAACTTGGCAATTTTTTAAAAAGACTAAACTTGCTAAAATGATCGTGGCAACAAGAGCAATTTAGAATTCATAGAACAAAGAAAAGTGTCTGTGTTGCACATACTGGCTGGTTTTACACCCGTTACACCCTCCTAAATAAGCCAGGTGATGCCAACGGTTGTGCCTTGCAAAACGCACCGACGTGGCGTCTACCGTCACATTTATTTCAAGGTTTTTTCACACTCTGCTTTTTTTCCACACTAAACAAGGATATTCAGAGCTGACTAGAGCGGATACATAAATGAATAACAGTGTTTTATTAGCCCTTCCTTCCGCCAAACAGCAACAAGACTCAAGTAAACCATAAACAAAGAAAGCAGTTCTTAACAGGAAGAAAAGAGAAAGAAACAATGTTAGCAAAACATTAAAGTGCACCAAATTTGATGGGGCAAGGAGTTTATATTCCCTATTCCCTATACCTCAGTCCGAATAAAGATTGCCTTTAGAACCACTTATAGGTAAAATGGACTCTTTACTAGTGCTACAGCAGATATCTAAGATTTTTCAGAATAATTCTTGGTTCAGGGTATTACATAATGGCATGTCCTCACATCATACTACTACTACTACTACTACTACTACTACTACTATTATTATTATTATTATTATTATTATTATTATTATTCCTAATGCTAATATTTATATGTAGAAAATTAGCACGCCAGAGAGAGATTCATTCAAAATCTTTCCTGAGAAGACAGAATGTATCTTTTGAAAATGGACAGGTCTGAGTGCAAGAAACTGACATATAATATAAAATAGCATTTGGACAGTTTACCTCCTTATTCCCTACAGATATATTTATTACCCAGACAGTGAGGTTGGGTATATTAACCAGTAGGATGAAACAGATAGAATTAGTTAAATTGAAAACCAGGGACATGAAAAGGAAAAATAAAATAAAAAAATTCCTCAAAAACCAATTGATTACATTTCATTTTTTTTTTCTTCTAAGAACCAGCGAGCAGCTTTGCAAATCTGAAGGATTCGGCAATCTTATTTCTGCTACCACTGTCAATCGCCCATTTACAAAGCGAATCGCTTTAGACTAAGTGCAAAACAATAAAATGAATCCTTTGAGATATTTCATACCGTCCTGCTTTTATTAATCGCTCCCTCTCTCTCCCTCCCTCCCTCCTTCCCCGCCTGTCTCTCACACACATACACACAAATGCTCACGCGCACGCACACACGCACACACCTCTCAACCAAACAATCGGACTTGCTTTTTTTAGTCTCTAGGAAAGCAGAAAGCAGGTGCTAGCTAGCCAGCCGAATGTAAAAATGGCAAATCTACATGCTTTAAAATGCTCACCCACGAAAGGAATGCTTCACCAAACATCACTGAAATCATAGCAATGTGAAAAGGCAGAAAGAATTAGGGGGTTGTGTGACAAAGGAGCGGGGGCGGGGGGGGAAGGAGAGAGGAGAGGAAGATATTCTCAACGTCCGTGTGAAAACGATCGAAGGATAATAATAATAATAATAATAATAGTAGTAACAGCCATAATAACCCAACGTTCCAGATACACACGAGAAAAGGCAATCAATGTGCAAAACAAGGTTGCAGTCCATGAGGCTTCAGTGTTCAACTAGGATGGGGAATGAAGAGTGGGGGGTGGTTTAAGGTCGCCCCTGTGGAGAGGATTTCCTGGCCTGAGAAGGACCTCAGGTTTGAATTCGTGATGAGGACAATACGTTTGGTGATCCACCATCTTCCTTTTTTGGGGGGGAAACTCTCGGGAAGCCTGGAGGGTTCTCTTTCTCCCTTCCTGGTCTTTCTCCTGAGCTACCTGTCTGGCACCTGAAGTTTTTCCCCTTCTGGAGATACAATTGGCGAGACTTTGCCCCTCTGTGACCTTGGTCAGCCGGGCAGATGGTTTCCTTGGTCCTGCCAAATGCACCCTAATGGCCAACTGCTCTGTATTGCTTCTTGGGAGAAGAGGAGTTGGGTGAAAGCTCGTCAGGTTTCAAGAAGAGCAGAACCACCTGCGAAGACACCACTGACTTTGGGTCACTGTTGACACCTGATCTGGGTTACCCACAAGCGCGCACGCACACACACACACCAGCACCTTGGGCGTGGAGAGGGTAGCACCCTGTCCCATCGCTCGAGGTTCCCTAGTGCAGCTCCACAGCTTACTCTAATTCGGCGTTTCTCAAAGTTGGCCCCTTTAAGACAGGGTGGACTCCAACTCCCAGAATTCCTCAGCCCACGTGAAGCCCACCCGTCTTAAAGGGGCCAAGCTTGAGAAGCCTTGCTCTAAACCAGGGGTCTCCAAAGTTTTAAGAAGGGTGGACTTCAGTTCCCAGAATTCCTCAGCCAGCGTTCTGAAAGTTGAAACCCACCAGTCTTAAAGTTGCCGGATTTGGAGACCCCACCTGCCCTAAATGCCCCCCCCCATGAACGCTGTTCAGAGAGTAGCAAAGAAGCCAAAAGGCCTCCTTTTGTGTTGACCACACACAAAGCACAATTGCATGAATGAAAGACCTTTGCCCCTTCCAAAGCCTTCCCACTTCCTTATATATATATGAAATGTTGCTTAGGTCTACTTTGTAAAGTTCAGTCAGCTTCTATCGCCTTGCGGAGGTCCCTGATAGTTAGCTTATCGATTTGACAGTGCTCATATTTATTTTTTGTTTCGTTTATTCATTTTATTACAAAAAAAAAGGGAGAAAAGAACTCAGAGCTATCGGTTTCTAGGACCTTCCACACACACACACACACACCCCCGATGGATTTCCTCCCTCTGAAAAACACACACTTTGGGGGGTGGGATTGGGGGGGAAATCAATTTTTGTTAATGGATTCTGTCTCTCTCTCTCTCTCTTCCTCTATGACCTCTAAGCTTTTCACCATAGGTGTCTTCCAGTGTAACTTGGTGGCGCAGTTGGAATCTGGAAATAAGGACAATACATCCACGATTAAGCATTTTGGAGCGTTGAGAAAATCTCTGCTTTAAACTCAATCCCATTACACAGCTCTGCTTTGCACAGGTAGCCCTTGACTTATGGCCACACAATTGAGCCCAACATTTCCGTTGCTAAGCGAGACGGCTGGGAAGTGAAACTTTGCCCTATTTTACGAACTTCCTTGCCACCGCCGTTAAATGAATCGTCGCGGTGCTTAAGTTAGCAAGCGAAATCTGGCTTCCCCGTTGACTTTGCTTGTCAGAAGGTTGCAAAAACGGGACACACGGCGACCGTCATAAATAGGAGTCGGTTGCCAAGCCTCCGAATTTTGAACACGGAGATACTGGCGACGGTCATGAGAAAAAAAACAACCAGAAATCACTTTTTTCAGCGCTGTTGTAACTTTTGCAACCGTCACTAAAAACGAACCGTTGTAAGTCAAGGACTGCCTGTGCTCTTTCTTTTCCTCTTTTTCTTCCATTAATAATGAAAACAAATCCTCGGGTTTCTATATTCACTTGCTTGGTTCTACTGCCTTGAATTCATCAGAGATTTTTAACTCCTGAACCCTACTAAGGATGAGATATCCTTTTCATGAGTGAGCAACACATAACAGCCCACTTTGCTCTGTTTTTACCTTCCCACCTGCCCCAAAATATCCTCATTGGGGTTTGGCTAAACTGCAGAGGTCACCAAACTTGGCAACTTTTAAGACTTGTGGACTTCAAACACCCGGCATTCTCTGGCTGGAGAATTCAGGGAATTGAAGTCCACAAGTCTTAAAGTTGCCAAGTTTGAAGGCCTCTGGGCTAAAGAGTTAGTTGCAGAATGGGCTCCTGAGTTTCAGAAAGCCAACTGCTTGCAGATAAAACCAGCCAAACAGGTGGGAGATGAGGATGGTTCACAATTCAAAACACTTCAAGCGTGGAGTGACATGTCAGATAGCCCTCTGCTGCTGGCTGAACTGAGGCTCATAGTCTTCCTGCCGATATGGGTCTGGAGGAGACGGACAGTATGTTTGTTTGTTTTTTCAACACCCGCCTCTCACCATCCCTGCCCCCCCCCCTCCAAAACAGGATGCAAAGGTGAAAAAAAAAATGCAAATTGCCTGATGGAGTCAGCAGCCGACTTAAAAGGACGCGCGAACCTAAGCTCTATGGAGCAGAAGCCAAACGAGTGGCATTTTGAAGCAGGCCACCATAGCAGAACTATGATCACAGCAGTTAAGCAGCTGGGGTGGATTGGGGTGGGGTGGGGGGAGAGAGAGAGCATCGCTGGTGGGCCAACAGAAGTGGAGGGAGATAAAGAGCGGATAGGATCAAGCGTTTGGGCAGCTCCTTGGTCCACGCAGACCCTAGGCAACCCAAAGGAGATAATAAGGAATCTGGAAGGAATCTTTTGAAGCAACCACCTGGGACCTTGACTGCTGTGGGTAGGAACTCTGTGAGACGGGCCCTTGTTTTTTTTTTTTGCAAAGCCACACATATTTAAAGGAAGGACACCACCAATGGATGGTAGTCCATCTATAAAGAAAACAAAAAACGAGGCGGTTGATTGGTTGGGAAAAGGAGCCACGGTTAATGCTCAATGGACAAAGAAGCGAGTGAGCTTTCCTAGAGACGTCATCTCTGGTTTCTCAGACCAGAAGAACATTTGTGACCCTTCCGATATATATATTTTTTCCACTGGAGGAAATGGACAGAATAAAATCATTCTTCCCTTCTCACGGAAAGAAAAGAAGAGATGGCGTGGTTGTGTTAGTGCCCAGAGAACAATCTGAGCAAAGACAAAAAACTTGACTGGCTCAACGGAATTTGGAATTCAGCCCTGCCTGCATTTTTGGGTGGGTTGAAGCTTCCCGTGTCCCGTTCTCACCCCGCCCCGCTCCCCCGTCTTTCTCCTCTGCTCCCCAATATCGGCAAGCATCCAACCGAAGGAAGTTCTGAGTTGAAAGCAGCGGTTGAGCCTTTCCCCCCTAAGGGGTAGCTTCTTCTACGCATCCCATTTTGATACTTACAGTCCCACCGTTCAAGACAACCGCCATCTCGGTGGGTTGGTAGACGTTGCTTCGGAAGGGAGCGCTTGCACGGCTTCCCAAGCTGCCGTTGCGAAATCCTGCCGTCCGTAACGCTGCGCGATGTTGAGGAAGAGGCGGGGAAAGAAGACAGAAAGAAGGAAAAGTGACTTTGGGGTGGAAAACCAAAAATAGAAAAGTTGGGAGTTCTGCATAGATGGCTTTTAAGGCGGTGAGAAGATCTACAGGCAGGATTTTTAATTCCAGGCAGGACCTGGGACAGCTCCAACTTACCGTAGTTTTCCACCTGTAGGAGAAGGAATGGCAGAGCCTGGGGGGGTGGAGTTAAATGAGGGATTAGCTTAGAATCCTTATGTAGCCACAAGTGAGCTAAGCCCAATTCTCCTTTAATCCTGTTGACTCTTATCTAATAATTCCAAGCAGGTGCTTGGGTAGTTGAGAATATTCCTGTACGTAAGCATGAGTAGCTATAAATCAGATTAATTGGACCTTCACAGGTGGATTTGATCTTTCACACCTGGCACCACTTCACCTCAAAATGAAGCCTTACACACATGCCATAAGCTGAAATATTTATTTGACAACAGAGAAATCTAAACCAAACAGGGGAAGAAATATATATAAGGGCCATAAACTGTATCTGCCAGTGTAAAGGAAATACTCCCTCCGCAATAAATATAAACAATCTACTTAATGTTTTAACAAATAAAGTTTAAAGTAAACTAAAGGAACATGGGGTTTTGCAAATCGTATCAAGATCTTTTTGGGGGGTGTAAGAGAATTTATTTCAGGTCATCATTAAATATTTAATATTTCTGTCCAACCAACAATGGGAGACAGCTGAAAATGTACCTAACATTAGAAACCCAAACTGTAAAGACGTCCAAAAGATAACCTGCTTGATAATGATATAGAGAATTATGGATGTCGTAGGACAAGCAAAGATTTTTGAGATTACTGATAGTACTTGATTTACAACCATTTACTTAGTAACTGAAATTATAACAGCACTGAAAAAAAGTGATTTATCTACTGATTTATTGCTGAATATAGCCAGTAAGAGTCAGCCCTAAATTGATGCTAGATAAGAGTTAACAGCATTCAAGAGAGTTGTGGGACTGTAATGACTCTAGGTCGATTACTCTCTTGACTCCACCTCCAGGCTCTGTCTATCCTTCTCCTACACAACTTAATTATTCCTATGAGTTAAGCATCATTAGATGGGGACATCTCACTGAAGCATTGTCCTCAGTGCTGTCTTTAGAGTGAAGACCACTTATCTTATTCCTAGATTCATTTATGAATTATGACTATTCCAGATGGCTTGCTTTGGCTGGACGTGTGTGCTCAATGCGGCAATAAGGTTGAAAAAGAAAAGGAATTTATCAAAATACCAGTTCTGTAATTTTCTCCATCCATATATGAAGGTGCATGATTTTTAAAAATGCCAAAGAAACACCAAACGATAGATTTGTTCCGCCATATAGAAACCTTCTATTCCCCTGGGGAAAATGTCAGGATATTGTAAATCAATGGCATATTGCTTTATTGAACTAAGATCAAGCCAACTTGCTACAATGCACTCTTGAGTGTGCAAAGATAATTGATTCAGCTGGCAGAAAAGGAAACACACATTCAGGGTTTTTCAGCAATAAATCTTTTAGACTCAAGTCTCACAGCTTGCCACTTTCCTCAATAAAGAAAGGGAAGAAGAAAAGGAGAAAAGAGAGACCGCTCTTCAAAAGCAGTCAAATGGCTGTTAAATCATCTCAGTGCCAGTGAACAGAGATTAGTCTGAAAGAAAATCCCCTGGATCCGTTCCCCACCAGATGTTGCTGAATTATAATTCCTATAATTCCACTAACGGGGCCAGAATTGAGGGATGCTGGGAACTGTAGTTCAGCAGCACAGTTCTCCTCAACTTCTGCTATTAAGGATTCCAGCAGAAATTCAGGCACTCGGTGCCAAACAGGAATGACGCATGGCGTCTAACTCAAGGTGAAAACTGGACAGGAAATTGCAATTCATCACAAAGAGGCCTGGGAACAAAATGCAATCTTCAATCTCGTAGCTATGCGGATCAGGAGATACTTAGCGTGAAACTATATGCTAGATCCCAGAAGAGAAAGCATAGTTAGGCTGTTCTGACACCATCGACTGCTAGGTGGGCAGGAACAGGAGCTCAGTCTGTGGTGCGGCACTGGGGTCTCGAACCCAACCTGTCAGCTTTCCAGATGAAAAGCTCAGCATCTTTAACCATTGAGCCAATGTGCTTCTCTAGTCAATTAATACTGTAGTAAGCACTAACTTGGTGCTAGATAAGAAGTCGGCAGAATTCAAGCAGGTTTGGCCTTAAACCATTTATGAGAGCCTAATGATTCTAGGCTAATTCTTCTATTAACTCCACACACAGGCTATGCTTTTCTCTCTTCTACAAGCAGTTCCTGTTTGAGTCCATCCCCCAGTTCCTGTCTGAGTTATTGCTACTACTACATTGCTACCACTCTATAAAACCTTAGTAAGACCACACCTAGTGTACTGCATCCAGTTTTGGTCACCACACTATAAAAAAGATGTTGAGACTCTAGAAAAAGTGCAGAGAAGAGCAACCAGGATGATTAAGGGACTGGAGGCTAAAATATATGAAGAACGGTTGCAGGAACTGGGCCTGGCTAGTCTAGGGAAGAGAAGGATCAGGGGAGACAGGAGAGCAGTCTTCCAATATTTGAGGGGCTGCCACAGAGAGGAGGAAGGGGTCAAGCTATTTTCTAAAGCACCCGAAGGCCAGACAAGGAATAATGGATGGAAACTGAACAAGGAGAGATTCAACCTGGAAATAAGGAGAAGCTTTCTGATAGTGAGAACAATCCACCCATGGAACAGAAGTTCCCCTTGGAAGTTGTGGGAGCTTCATCCCTGGAGGCTTTGAAGAAGAGATTGGACTTTAAAATACTCCATTCTCAAATTTTTATTTGGTCAATCTTTCCACGTTATTACGACCCGCGTCAAGCACCCTCAGCCCCATCCTAAACCAACAGACGCTCACCTGCATTATGTTCATCCATTGAAAAAGCTTTATTCTCCATGTAACTCCGAGGAAGCTGGAGCTCATCCTCGAAAGCAGTCTCACGCATCCGCGGTTGCGAGGTGTCGAAGTAGTTGGGCGTGTTCTCTTGCTCAGATGGAAGGATGGCACAGTGAACCTCTGGGATGGCATAGAAGATTAGGAAGACCCAGCCGTTGGCTACCAGAGCCACTGCTAGGGTGGGATCCTGCCACTGATCTCTCCTCCCCAGTTCCTTGTTACCGTACAGGTACATAGTCAGCCAAGCCACCCAAATGAGGATTGAGAAGAAACTGGTGATGATGAGGCACACCCCGTTCTTCTTCCACTTCTTAAATTTCCCACACAAGGTGAAGAAGGAGAAGCACAGGGTGACCACCATCAAGAACATCACGTAGATGGAGGCCATGGCAAAATCCGTGGGCTCGTAGTGGCAGGCCAGCTTTCCTTCCCTCACAATCGTCAGTATCAGCCACTCTGTGGCAATGATGACCTGGACCAAGGCGATGCAGATGGCGATTCCGGCCAGCTGCCATCCCGATGGGCTTTTGCCATGGCGGACCAGCCTCCGGAGCCGCCAGGCTTGAGCGAGCAAGCAGGAGAAGCAGACGGCGAAGAGGACTCCCCAGGAGAACCTGCGGACGCAGCAGACGGTCTCGTCCTCTTCGATGATGTACGCAAAGGCCAAGCCAAAGAGAGCCAAGGTCCCTAAAAAGAAGAGGAAATGGAGGCCCAGCGGGCTCCTCTTCTCCTTGCCTTTGATGAAGGGCAGCCTCACCAGCAAGATCAACTTGAGGAGCAGCGTGGTCAAGACCCCTGCCCCTGCCACAGCCTCAATCACGATTCCCCAGATAGCATCCAGATCACACAGGGCAACATGTTGAGGAAGAAGGTCCAGTCCACATCCTCGTGGAGTACTGGAGTTTTCAGAGGAGCCATAGTCAACCACAAAGAGCAGGAGAAGGCCAACCGTAAGGGAAGTGGACATTTTTCTATCTGGAAACAAAAGGACAAAGAGAATAAGATGATAATTTGCCTGATACTTCCTACTTCTAGGCAATTCCCCGCTCCTTCCCCCAGAGAAGATGGTGCTAGAACTGCCAGAAGGCCAAGCCAGCATGGCTACTACATCGGCTGAAATCTCCAGGAGATTAAATGCAGCATACGGAGAACAAGAGCGCCCAACCTTGGCCACTTGAAGACTTGTGGTCTTCAACTCCCCAAATTCCCCAGCCAGCCATGGGGAATTCTGGGAGTTGAGGTCCACAGGTCTTAAAGTTGCCCACGTTGGACACCCTTTGATGTAGAAGATCCCATGTAGACACTCTTTGTCCTCCATAACATCTGGGTTACCTGATCACGGCCTATCAACAAACTGGAAATTGAGGCCTTCCCTCCAAACCATCAGCAATTTGTGCGAATTTTACATTCCTACATTTTCCAGGGAGAGCCAATTTGGCGCCTGCCGATTAAAAGCACTGCATTAGATATCAGGAGACTGGGAATTCTAGTCCTGCCTTAGGTGCAAAAACCAGGCAGGCTAATCACTCATTCTCAAACCCAGGGAGGAGATACTAGCAATCCACTTCTGAAAAACATTGCCAAGAAAAATATGTCACGGAAGGTGACTTGGATGACACTCAGTCACCCAGGTAAAGTTATCTGAAGGTTGAGTTGTGGCAACTGGACTTATTAGTGAGTCCAGTTAAAAATAATAAATAATTATAATTTACTTGTTTGTTTGTTTGTTTCTGAGCAGTGAAATGTCTCAAACTAACAACAAGAAGTCCAATTGCCATGAGTCAACCCTTCATATTGCCAAGAGCTGCAATCTGCAGGGACTTGTTGCTGGGGTGACCAAGTCTTTGGGTTGACTTTCTGGACCGTAACCACAGCCACGCTAAGAGTTTTCATCATCTACGCTTCAGCTACTCAAAGAGTTGAAGGCTTTTGGATGAACACCGCAGTGCTACTGCAAAATATTTGTTGAAAAAGCGGGGGTGGGGAAAGAACGCTACTCTGACTCCAGAACCGAAACCTTTGCTGCAGTTCTGATAATTTCACACACACACACACACACACTTCCCTGGAGGATATCGCAACGAGTGGGAATTCTGCCCAGTTCCTTCCCAGATACTTCGAAAAGAATCAGCTTCGAGGCAGATCGCAGAGCACAATGAAAGCCAAGCGATGAGCAGCCTTCTAAAAAAAAAAAAAAGTGACTCCTGAACTTGTAATTGATGAGGGCATTGTGCTTACACACACACACACACACACACACACACACATAAAATAATGCCTTCACTGCTTCTTCTCCTTCTGTATCATAAATGCTGCAGGCTGTCAGCCCTGCACTTTTTGCCGCTGAATGACCCAATGCAGAGAAACAGCAGTAGGGATGAAAAATGCCGTCAGGCTATTTTTAGAAGACCTAAGTCCAACTGGAATCCAAGTGGGATGTGGAGTTCGGCCATCAATCCCCTTCCCCAAATATAGCAGGCCTACCATCACATGTTCAAGGGCTTCCTTTGGAGCTCCTGGGAATAACAAAAAACTATCTCGGCACACACACCCCTCTGTGAATCGAACTGGAACATTCCAAAGATTGTGTAAGAATCAAGAGGCCACCTGCATTTCGTGGGTTGCCGAACAGGAGCAGTTTAATTTCCTGCTCTGGAATAAAACCAGATTTTAAGGAGTAGAGAGAGACCCGGAGTTTGGAGCAATGTAAATTGCTTGCTCAGGGTTGGTCTCCATCAGAGAGGGAAGCTACTCCGCTTATGGATGGTGGACACTAGTTGGAAAGCCATAGCTACTAGAGAGTTGGTCTCCATCAGAGACAGAAGGCATCCTACTTATGGTTGACACTGGTTGGAAATCCATGGATTTCAGGGTTGGTCTCTCTCAAAGAGTGAAGGGACCACTTATTTGCTTAGAAAATGCATATGGGCATCTATTTCACATATCAACTCTGGGCAGCTAACAACAATCCACCAAAATAATGTAATAATAAAACCTCCATCAATGAACCAGAAGCAGAATTAAAATAATCAATAGACACAATAACCAGGACTAACCTCCTAACCAAACGTAAACTCATCTAACGCCCTGCTCCACCATCTAGGAGGAGAGCCATGGCTTCGTGACTTGCTGAATGCCAAGGCCCTGTGATGACCCAGGGCATGGCACAAAGGCAACACAGTCAGATGATCATCAAGAGCCTCTTTATTAGCTCTAACTTTACCCCCAATGTCCAGGTTACCTTCTGGCCAGAGAAAAACTTTGACAAACAGCCTTTGACTGCAGAAAATTAAGTCCAAAACATCGTCAACACAAACTGTAACTTGAAGTCCAAACAAGCCAAACTGAAGTAATTAGTTTAGCAGGGCTGGAGCAAGAATTTCAGACTTGGAGGCACGGCAAAACTCACACAGTTGGGAAGATGCCAGGAACACAAATATGCCACGACAACACAGGATAAAGTCACGTTTGCTCCCAGCAGCCTGCTGCTCGCAGCCTGCCTTTCTTATCAACTGCCTTCCCAGCTGTGGTTTATGAAGGGAATCAGGGCCCTTTCCTCCCATGTAAGCCACACAACCCACGTTGCTCTCTGTTCTTCCCTGCGTGCCCTAGGATGAAGAGGGGGTGGGCTTGGGTCTTCCTCTGAACTCCCTCTCCCTTGTTCTACCACTTCCCTGCTCTGCCCAGCCAGACTTTGCCCTTCCCCAGCCAACAGAGCCACACTCCCGCTCCCTGTCAGCTGTCTGGCTTCCTCCTCGGATTTAGACTCCAACAGGGGCACGACAGGCCCTTTGAATCCAAGGAAGTAGCCTATCCCATTGGGCAGGTGCTACAACAGAGAAGGGGCATCTCCTAGATCCCACCAGGTCGTAATTTAATAGAGGAACCGTGGGAGTTTGCACTAGGTGGGGAAACTATTTGTGTATTGCAATGGCTACTCTCCAGGGACAGGGGACAATAGAAGTTCAGTAGTTGAAGGTACTAAGTGTTCCTCCAGTCTGGATCCCCTTTCACAGGAAGCAGACTTATACCAGACTCAGCCCAACAAAACCAGTGGGATTCACTGGTCACTGATCCTATTGCATGGGGAAACCAAAGTTGAGCCCAGGACTTTGAAGACACACAGCAAAACCCATAATTCTGGGCTGCAGTGCCTTTCTGTCCTCAGGATCCAAGGATGATATAAACAGGACACCATCAGAAACCTTAACTGTCCAACTTGGCCTTGCGTAACCGAATAGCTGTCCCACACGGAAACCTTATTCCCGTAGCCACCTAACTGTAAAATTGCTTTGGCACCTTCACAATTGTACCAACATCCTGAATCTGTATTCTTCCTTCGCCTGGTTGTTGTTGTTATTATTATTTTTAAAGAAGCATGAAATTAGCCTTCAGAGGAAGACCCCAAAGAGCATCCAGCCTTACTGGGTTTCTCTTGAACCAACCCCTGACCAAGATAGCCAGCAGCTTTGGTCCAATCTTGTGAATTTCAGCACACCCTTGGTTAAACAATGCAGCTTTTGCACCCGAGGTCCCCTTTTAATACTGCTTTCAGGAGCCTGATGAAGGAGGAGGAGAGGGGGAGGGGGAGGAGGAGGAGGAGGAGGAGGAGGAGGAGAAGAAGAAAAAGAAGAAGAAGAAGAAGAAGAAGAAGAAGAAGAAGAAGAAGAAGAAGAAGAAGAAGAAGAAGAAGAAGAAGAAGAAGAAGAAGAAGAAGCTGCTCTGTTAACTCGGCCCTTGCTATCTCCAGCTGTGGCTGCTCTGCCTGCCAAAAACCTTGTTTTCTCTCTCCTCTCCTCTCTCCCACCCCACCCCACCAAGTGCAATACAGCCAACAACACATAACTCACTCTACCACCTGACCCCAAAGAGTGGCGTTTTACTTAATGCGTTCCTCCCCGAACATTTGCAATCCAGAAGTTCCTTCTTCAACTTCATGCATAAGCGGCTCAGTCTGCGTTTCTGATAAACAATGCCTGTTTGGGTGGCGTTTCGTTTTCTGGCATGTTTACTCCTCTACTCCGAACAAGGTTCATTCCCAGATGGGTCTCTCTTTATCAGATCTGAGGAGCGTTAAGAACAAATCCATGACCGTCTCGTCTCCTCCAGGCTGTGTCAACAACAACTCCCCTCCCTTGGAGAGGCCCATAGCCTCTTTGGGGATCATTCCTTTATCTGCAGTTCAGTTTCTCACTCCCTTTATCTTAGAAGAAACAGACTTTCGCCAACTAACAAACGGCCGCGCTTCGTTGGATCAACGGCCTGGATAATTAATGTATAGAACATTCACTCTATTCTTACAATCCACCTTAATTCAAAACAACAGAGGGAAACTCATCAAGGACGGAAGCAACCTGGAATTAAGGAGAAACTTCCTAACGATGAGGACAACTAACCAGTGGAACAGCTTGCCACTAGAAATCGTGGGCGCTCCCATCACTGGAGGCTTTTAAGAAGAGACTGGGCAACCACTTGTCTGTGATGGCCAGCGTCTTCTGCTTGAGCAAGGGGTTGGACTAGAAGACCTCCAAGGTCCCTTCCAACTCTGTTTATTCTATTCTATTCTCTATTCTCCTCCTCCTCCTCCTCTTCTTCTCCTCTTGACTCTTGACGAATGTATCTTTTCCTTTAGGCACACTGAGAGCATTTGCACCAAGACAAATTCTATTCTATTCTCTATTACTCTCCTCCTCCTCCTCCTCCTCCTCCCCTTGACGAATGTATCTTTTCTTTTATGTACACTGAGAGCATTTGCATCAAGACAAATTCCTTGTGTTTCCAATCACCCTTGGCCAATAAAGAATTCTATTCTATTTTATTTTATTCTATTCTATTCTATTCTAGTCTAGTCTAGTCTATTCTATTCTATTCTATTCTTTCCATTATTCTATTCTATTTTCTGTTCTATGTTCTATTCTATATTCTATTCTATTCTTTATTCTGTTCCTTATTCTATTCTATTCTGTTTTCTATTCTATATTTCAAACCCCAGGCCCCCCCCGGGGGGGGGGCTCTTGAGGAGAGCTGTCCCGTCTGATTACGACCACCGCCCCTCTTCCCCCCCCCCAAAAAAACAAAAACAACCCTAGAGATCCTTGGAAATCTCTCTCTCTCTTTCTCTCTCTCTCTCTCCCCCCGTCGCCCCACCAGCCCTCGCTTCTTGCTCTGCACCCCGCAAAAGTGGAAGCGTCGCCCGCGTTGGCTGTCGCCGCGCAAAAACCCGCCTTCGCTTCGCGCCATCCCTTTTAGGCACCCGGCCGTCCGGTCCTCCAGGCGGGTCGGGTGCCTCTTTCTCGCCGTCTGCCCCGGGCCTGATGGGCGGTGTAGTCCCGAGCTCTCTTTGGAGGGCGCAGGAGCCGGAAAAAGCGCTCCGCAGCCGCGCAGATCCTCGCTCTTTCCCACCCACCCCCCTCCCAAGCCCCACGCAGCCGCCCTTCCTCGGCCACACTTGCGCCCATCACTTCCAAAGTTCTTCCGAAAGGGCGCTCGGTCTTTCTAGCGCGAGCCGTCCGCTCCGGATGACCCCCCCAGCTTACCCGAGAGCCCGTTCCCGAGAGACCGGCGGGGCTCCGGCGAAGCGCGCGCGCCCTCCGCTTTCGGGGGCAAGCGAGGCCGGGATGGGGATCGCCTTCAAGCCCAGCCGAGAGCCAGGTGTTGAAGGAGCGGGGGGGGGGGGGCGAGAGGGCGGCCCGGCTAGCGCTCCCTTCCCTCCTCCTCTCCTCCTCCTCCTCCTCCGTCGCTTCTCCAGCGCCTGGGCTGCGTCGGTTTTCTGCAGTCCCCGAGCCTGGTGGCCGCGGTCCCTTTGGGCGGCAGCAACGCCAAGACCCATCATCCCCATTACAAAGCCCGCTTCCCTCCTCCTTCCCCGGCGATAGTGCCAGGCTCCAAGACCCATCATCCCCACTTTAAAGCCCGCTTCC